TGGTAGCCCCTCTCTTCCTTTTGGCTCACACTTACTCCAAGAGTCCTATCTGTGAGGTTCATCTGACCCCTTGGACACAGTCCCAGCGCCTGGCTGAGAGGGTGTCCCTTAGTCCCATGTATACTGAGGCCAGCTCTGTGGTTGGCAGGTTGTATAACTCTTTTGGGAATGCTGGTGCTTAAGCCCTGGAACTTTTAGTTTGTTCTGTGCCAGGCTTTGTGAGGACAGAAGGGAACAAAGGCAGCCCATGCCCTTGGATGCTTAACAAATGTATAAAAGAGTCCAAGTGTGATGCTGGCCTCTGCAAGGGGACCATGGGACTCCAAGCACACGGTGGAGGCTGTGTCTGCCCTGCAAAGTGACTTTTGGGCCTAGGCTGACTGTGCTGTGCACAGCAGGCATTTATGACTTAGGGCACACTAGGAGAGCAAAGGCTAGTTGGGGTGAGTGCAGTGTGTGGCTGGTGCACAGGTGTGGCTGGAGTGATTACTGGGGGCCCCTGATGGTAGGTGGTAATTAGATGCTCGGTGTAGGAGTTTGGACTTGACTCATCAGCTGAGGGTGGTATGAAAAGGGTTTTTAGCATGATACAATGTGAGCCTGTTCCACTGACTCCTAGGAAAAACCAAGAGAAAGGGAAACGCTGACCTGATGCGGTTCCCTGTGGCCTGGGGAGCCTGGATCCCTGAGGTCAGAGCACCATGAAAGGGAGGGGGGCCCTCAGCTCACCACTTCCTGCCAGCTGCCTTAGCAGCAGGAGGCTGTTTATAGCAAGTCCCCAGGTGATTCTGCTGTGGGTGGTCTGAACTCTGACTCAAAGGGCAAGTTTGTGTCCTCTCTTGCTAGTGTGTCTCACCTTGTGATCTTTTGAAGAACACAATCCACAGAAATGGTTTTATTTCCTCACCCTTTCCCATTTGCTTACTGCTGCTTGCTTGCTCCTGTGGCTTTCAGAGGAGAAAGGAACAGTTGTCTCTTTCACCAGTAAGCACCTGAACTCATTGCCGGCGTCCTTGTCCACTGGGGAGAGGGCAGTAGTTGTCAAAGAGGGGCAGTGGCACTTAGGCTCTGCTGACCCGAGAGGCAGAGAAGAGGATGTCTGTCCTTCCTGCCTGCCCCTGTTGCTGTGGTCTTGTGGTCCAATCTCCTGTGGCCCCGTATGTGGCAGTTCAGTCAACCAAAACGGTAGTTCATCTCCATTGTTGATTCTGGGGCTGTAGCCACATTCAGGTCCACCCCAAAGAGCTTAAATGAACATGGGAAGAACATTTTCAGGTAGCCTGAACATTTTATTTTGTTAGGACATTTTAACACTGTCACATTGTTACACTGCAAATCTATGACAGTCATGCCTTGGCATGGGGTTCGAGCATTGGTTTCAAGACCCCTGACAGATACCCAAATCTGTAGATACTCAAGTCCCTTGCATAAAATGTCATAGCACCTCCCCGTATACTTCAAGTCATTGCATTATGCATGAGCAATACAATAGATATGTTGCATACATAGTGATATCATACTGCTGAGGATGACCTTGAACTTCTGATCTTCCTGCTCCCACCTCCCCCATGCTGGAATTATAGGCCTGCATCGCTACATCCAGTTTATTGGTATTGGAGGTTTAGTGCATACCAACCAAGCTATAGAGCCAGCCCCAAATTATTTTTTTTCACATGCAAAAATGTTTTTTATCAATATAGCATATACAAACTATAAAAGAATGATAAGCTTTAATATGTGTATTGTGATACACAAATTAAAAACATGCAGGGCTGAGAGAAGGCTGGAAGAAGAGCGCAACAGACTACATTCCCAGTGCAGGCCTCATAGACGGAGGGGGTTTGGGTGCAGCACTTTCTCAAGGCCCCTCCTCACTGAGATCAGCATCAGCCAGTCTGGCCATGAAGTCTGGAGCACTGGAGGGGAAGAGCCTTTCCATTTCCAGAGACAGTTGTCACCAGAAGCCCTAGGGGAGCTTTAGGTTTCCCTGCTGATTTTTTTCACAGTGAAGGTTGATTGGTTTTGTCTGAGGGTCAGTCTGTCTTCCCTGGCTTTTCTCTAGTACGGTTGACAATCCCCAGAGCCTTTCTGCCAGTTTCAGGTAAGGCTGATGAAACACTATTTTTGCTAATCAAACATGTTAAACCTGTGATTTTCCACCTAAGGCCTTCAGCCCATCCTTAGGAGCCACGTGGGCACCTGATTCACCACTGTCCTCATTACCAACAAAGATCAGAGTGGCCTTTGTAGATCTCCAAGTCTCCTACCCCAAATAAATTTTCAAGTATTTACAGCCCTTGGTATCTCGAATCTGTAATTTCTCATGGCTAAGGAGGGTTGACCGTGTGTGTGTGTGTGTGTGTGTGTGTGTGTGTGTGTGTGTGTGTGTGCACGCGCAAGCGTGCATGCCTGTGTGGGATGGAAAACAGACATAGAAAATCAAAGAACCCTCAGTCTGATTTTGGGATAGCCACCTTCTAAACCTTGCTGTCCCACCCCTAGGCTGGGACAGTCATGAATATGTGCCTTCCTGGAATAGCAGCCTTCTACCTTCGCTGTGTAGGTCTGGTGTTTTTCCTCATATAGTATATGGAAAATAAACAGATGGTTTGCTAACCATCCTGGTTTGGTTTTGTTTCTACGTATGCATGTGTGCAAGAAGGTTTTGCTGTGTAACCCAGGTTTGCTTGAACTCGTGACCCTACTGGTTTAGCCTCCTCAGTTCAGGGTTACTGGTGTGCACCACTGCACCCAGCCAGTGAACTGGTTGCTACGTGTACGTTTTCCCCCTTCCTTCCCCCCAACATTTGAATTATTCACACCTCCATCTCCCCATTCCTAACATTTTTGTCAAGTTCCCCAATTCAGTTTCTTTCCTTGCAATAACTTCTCACCTGACAGGGTAAAATAGGGTGTACTCCCTTTTAAAATTTTGATCCATTTCTGAAAGCGTATTCTCAGCCCGGCTTTGACAGATTTATATTCTTCCTGCCTACGAAGAAGTATGTACTTCCCCCACACTTTGGGGGAGTCCTAAATGTCAACATCAGCTTTCAGTGACTGCAAAGGGTCCAGCAGCAGCCCTGGCCTTTGGCCACATGCAAATCAACACAGCCACATAACCCACATTCTTGTTGACACCCATTTTGTCACAGCCTAGAGTTGAAGATCTTGAAGAGCTGAGAGTAATTATAAAAACCTTTCAAACTAGCCACTAGTCTGGTATAGGGGAAAACTATGATTCTGGGTGGGGGTGGGGGTGGGACACAGTAGTAGCCGCAGGATCCCAGACCCTTGTCCTCTGGGTTATGCTATCCCCACCCCCACCCTTCTATACCAGCTACACCCCTGAGCCTCTGTCTTCCCCAAAGCAGCACTGGGGTGTTTTCTTTTCACCTTTACAGAGACAGGAGCAAGCTTCTACTCCCAGGGTGGTTAGGACTTGGGAGTGGCCTGCGGGGAGGGAGGCTTGCTTTTCCCTGGCAGGATCATCAGTGGGCAGCTTTTATCCCCATCACCGCTCCTAATGTTCTTTCCAAAATATTTTTTATGTGATGCATTTTGACCATATTCACCCCCCCACACCCAGCCCCTCTCACATTTACCCTCTCCACCCTCACTTCCCTACCCACCCAGCCTTGAGTGTCTCTTCCTCTCTCTTCCGTCTAGTCCAGTTTGTGTTACCCAACTACTCTTAGGCACGGGGCCTGCCCCAGTGTGTGGTTAACAAACCAGAAAGCTGACTCTCCTCCTAGCAGCCATGAGATGCCAATAGCTGCTCACTAGTGGTGGATTTGGTGTCTGCCTCCCCTGCCCCCACAGTGGGATCTGCCTGGCCTGAGCTTGTGCAGGTCTTGTACATGTTGCCACTGTTGCTGTGAGTTCATGTGTGCAACTGTTTGGTTGTGTCTGGGAAATACATTCCGTGAAGTCAGCCACCACCTCGGGCTCTGACAAATTGTTTTCCCCTCACCAGAGTGTGTGTGACTTCTGCTGCCAGCCTGCTGGAGGCTGATGGCACTCCCACTGTGTTCCTTCCATGGCCCCTGCTTGCCTCTCTTTCTGGGCATTTTCCAAGGTCACTCTTCACTTCTGTCTGTCACTATCAGTCTTGGCCTGTGAAGGCCGCCATCATTCTTCAGAACCCTGGACCCACATTTCCACTCTATCCTCTGCCTTAGCTGGGAGCTTTAGTCCCCACAGACCTATTCGAGAGCCAGGCTGTGCTTTCTAGAATGTTAAGCAACAACCCTGGCCTCTGCCCACTTGGTGCCTGCCAGTGATACCTAGAAACATCCTGGCGTTGCAGATGTCCTGGTAGGGGAGAGGACTGCCCCTAGCTGAGAACTACCATGACACCCGCTCCTTCCTTCTCTTTGTCCCGGCTTAAATGAGTGGATGAGATTCCCTTTAACGCCAGCATGACTTTAGCTTGATACAGTGCTAGAAGACGGAAGGGAGGCACTGTTTGAGCTGGAAGGGGATTCCCAGAGCACAGGCGTGCTAAGTCTGCACAGCCCCTTTGTCCTCTGGGCTCATCAGCCTGAGATCCTTCTCAGCAGAGCATTCCAATTGATAAGAGATGTGCTAGTTGATAAGAGGTGTTGTGAAAGGTGAACTTTTTTGTGTCTTCTATCCCTGCAGAGCCCAGAACCTCCTGCTTAGGTGTGTAGCTCTGGGGCAGAGGCTAGTTGTAGAGGAGCTCCCTTCGACACAGCTTTTAGCTGTGCTCATTAAAGACCAGTGGTATGGTGTGGATCAGACCAGACCTGGCATATAGTTGCTGTTCAGTGAGTAATGGTGAATAGATCGTATGAACGGTGATTGTCTCTGGGTGGTAGGACCGTGTGTGACACACATGGTTTTGCATTGTTCCTTCCTTTATAAGAACCAAACTTGTGAATATTTCTCCCAAAATCAGGAAAGAAAACCCATGAATATTTTTCCTCAGTTCAAAAGGAAGAGACCCCTCCCTTATTCTGTGTATCTTTCTTCCCTAGGTTTGACTACCAGCAGCATGGCTACCAGCGCTGTTCCCAGTGACAACCTCCCCACGTATAAACTAGTAGTGGTGGGCGATGGAGGTGTGGGCAAGAGTGCCCTCACCATCCAGTTTTTCCAGAAGATCTTTGTGCCTGATTACGACCCGACCATTGAAGACTCGTACCTGAAGCATACGGAGATTGACAATCAGTGGGCCATTTTGGATGGTGAGATGCAATGACAGCCTTGCATGGGATGGGTTATCACATGGGGGAGGATGGGGAAATTTGATAGGCTTTAGTGGTTTCTTGCTTGCTGTTATTATGGGATGGTTGCTATATAAGGTAGTATGCAGCTTCCAGGGGGAATTCTGGGTAGAGATCAGGTCCTGGTAGAGTACTTAAAGACCTTAGTGGCAGCAGAAGTGGGCAGTGAGTGAAGAGACCAGGCAGAATGCTGCCAGCTCAGAAATGCTATGTTGGGAATTGCTTCTTTAATGAGCAGGCGCATAAGTTTCAAGCTAATAAAAGTGGGAACACGGAAATCTTCCTTCCTTTTTTAGATTTATTAAGGAAAACCGAGGAAGAACTCCCAAGAATAGGAAGCACCCACAACCCCTGAAAATTTATCTCTTAATAAGCAGAGTCCCTTTGTTGGGAGATCTTGGGCCTGGCATTGCACTTCTACTCTAATCGAAATGTGTCCTTTTCAAAGTGGTTTATAAGGAGCTTCCTAGGAATGTGAATAATTCCCAGGCCCCTTCTCATTGTGAAACTCAAGGGTGGAGGACAATGGCTTGTTTTTAGCATAGCCTTCAGGGGTTGCTGAAGCCAGAGACCACTGCTCTAGATTCCCACTGGCCATGATTTCCTATTGCCCAAGTGTCTGTCCTGAATGAAGCCCATTAATCACGACGCTGGTCTAGGAGGAGGCTTGGAAAGCTGCTGACTTACAAGTTTCTTTTCAGATAAATATTTTTCTCAGTCTGTGTCTTGTTTTCCGTCCTCCCGGCAGCTCCTTTCAAAGACTAGACATGTTTTGTTTTGATGACGTCTAGTTTATTCGTTCTTTCACAGGCTGTACTTTTGGTATGTTGTCTAAGAAATCTTTGCTAAACCCAAGGTCATGACAGTATTTCTCATGGTTTCTCCTGGAAGTGTAATTGTTTGGGTTTTTCATTTACATTCTGTTCTATTCTGTACACTTTGCCCGTGCTGTGGGAGTAGAACAAATCTCCCAGAGTTCCTGAATTCCTTGAAGATTCTTCCTTTCAACTCCCAGTTGACTTTGTCCCAGTAGTGAGATCCACTTCCCTGTGTAATCTGCCTTTGATCTGGATGTTTCATTTAGGGCAAACTACCACCTGCCTTAACAGCTCTAGCTTTATGATAAACTTTGTAGTTGAAGCCATGAGAATGAATATATGAATTATAGACTCAATTAAGTTTTCTGATTTTTGTTTGGGATAGTGTTGAACTTGTATATAACCTGAAGGAACTTTTGTAGTGTTTGGTGCTGAACCTGGGGCCTTAACACATGCTAGGCAGGTGACATAGCCCTGAACCATGTCCTCAGTCTTGAGAACTGATGTCTTAGCTGACAACGTGGAGCTTTTTCACCTGTGAACACTGTCTCTCTCCACTTATTTAGGTCTTTCTTTACCTCCCAATTGTTTTGTACTTTTGAATACATAGGTCTTTATGTACATTTTGTCAGATTTATACTTACATTTGCATTGATGTTATGATAAATGTTTTAAATTTCAACTTCAATTGTTTGCTGCTAGAATATATAAGTATAAATGGTTTCTAATTTGTTGGGATTTTTGTTGCTGTTGTTTTGTTTTTGTTTTTGTTTTTGTTTTTTTGAGACAGGGTTTCTCTGTGTAGCCTTGGCTGTCCTGGAACTAGCTGTGTAGACCAGGCTACCATTAAACGCAGAGATCCACCTGTCTCTGCCTGTCAAGTGCTGGGATTAAAGGTGTGAACTACCGCTGCCTGGCTATGATTTCTAACTTTTAAAATTAGCTTAAGATAACTTATGAAGTAATGGGTTTCTTCATGGCACTTTACACAAATATGTCATTATACTTTATTCAAATCCATCTTCCCCATACTGCATTCTCTGTGCCTCCTGACCTCCTTCAATACAATTGGTTTTTATATATCAATTATATAACATTCTGGCTATTAGCCTTAGTGGCTCTTTATGAGATCCTTTCTGCATGGATGTTCATGCTGTGGTAAAAGCAGTTTTATCTTTTCCTTTCCAATGCATGGTTTTTATTTCTTTTTCTTGCCTTATTTCAGTGATTAAAGCCTCCAGTATTGTGCTGAGTGACACCCTGAGAACAGACATCCTTGCCTTGATCTTAAGGGGAGTGTGCAGTCTTTGGCATCAGTCTGATGTTAACTGTAGGTTTATGTGGTGGAGATGCCCTTTGCCAGGTCAAGGAAGCGCCTTCTCCTGGTTTGCAGAGGGTTTCAATTGGGAACAGATGTCAGATGTTGTCAGACACCTTTTCTGGCTGAGATAATCACATGGCTTTCCTTTTTTAGTTTGCTAATGTGGTAAATTATGTTTTCCACCTAATTTTTAAAACATTGTATTTATTTTTATTTAGTATGTGTGTTGGGGATCCTCCAAGTTGTGCTACAGCCTGTATGTGGAGGTCAGAGCACAACTTGGGGGAATCCGTTCTCTCCTTCCACCGTGTGGGTCCTGGAAATTGAGCTCATGTCATCAGACTTGGTGGCAAATGCCTTTATGCACCGAGACATCTTGCTGGCCTTTTCCCTAATGTGTAACTAATTTTCCATCCCTGAAATAAATAGCATGTGGTTATGATGAATGGTTTTTTTCATATGCCATTGGCGTCAATTTGGAAGAATTTGATATGGAAATGTTTTACTTGTGTTCTTGAGGAATATTAGAACATTTTTTAAATTATAGTTTATTTATCTAACTTTAGTATGAAGATAATTCTGGCCTTCCAAAATGAGTTGGAAATTGACCCTTCTTTTTCAGTTTCTCTATGAGAGTTTAAGTAAGCCTCTTCTAATTTCTCTCTTACATGTCTGGTAGAATTCACCAGCAAGACCATCTGGACTACAAGCTGTATGGAGAAACTTCTAAAGTACACATTAAATCTCTTTAGTAGACACAAGGCCATTGAGTCACCTCTTTAGTCTTCAGTGAACTTTGGTAGCTTGTGATTTTTTTTAAAATTCTGTTTATTAGAGCTACCAAATTTATTACCATAAGGTTGTTGTTCATAATATTCTTTTATTATCTTTACAATGATGTCATTTCTCATTCCCGATATTAGTAATGTGTCTTCTTTTTCCTTTTCCTGATCAATCAGGGTTGGGTTTTATGAGTATTGATTTTCTCAAAGAGCCAGCACTTGTGTCCATTAATTATTCTCATTTAGTTCCATTGATTTTTTTTTTCTCACTCATACCTATTCTTCCTTCTTTACTTACTTTGGATTTAAATTTCTCTTGTTCTCATGTCCTTGAAGAGGAGTGTTGTGCTGTTCTGGCCAGGCTGGTCACCTTCTCCTGGGCTCTGTGATCCTTCCACCTTAGCCTCCCAAGTACCTGAGACTCAGGGACTCACCATCATGCCCACTTCATTCTAATCGCCTGAAATGCAAGCTGATATTGAGGTATTTTTTCCTTTTCTTGGGGTATTCGCTTAGCACTATAAAATTCTCTCAATCACTCCTTTAGCTGTACCCCACAACAAACTGTAACATGGCATGTCTTCCTTCCATCTGTCTGCCCTCCCTTCCTCTCTCCATCCCTCTCTCCTTCCCTCTGTCCTTTCCTCCCTCCTTCCCTCTCTCCTTCCCTCTCTCCTTCCCTCCCTCTCTCCTTCCCTCTCTCCATCCCTCCCTTCATCCCTCCCTCTGTACCTTTTTTTTTCCAAGACAGGATCTCACTATTTAGCTCTTACTGTAACTCACTGTGTAAACCAAAGTGAACTCAACTCACAGAGATCTGCCTACCTCTGCCTCCCAAGTGCTGGGTGAGTTAAAGGCGTGAGCTACTACACCTGACATAATGTTTTAATTTCTATTCATATCAAATTCTAATTTCTCTTGAGATTTCTTCTCTGACCCATAGGTTATTTAGAAGTATCTTACTTAGTTTTCAAGAATTTGGGACTTTTCCAAAGATCTCTCTGTTCTTGATCTTTAATTCTAGTGTGTCAGGGAACATACAGTACATTATCTGAAGTCTTTTTTGAGGCTTGTCACGGTGCCCAGAAGACGGGCTGTCTTCATAGATGTTCTCAGAGTCTGCTGTCACTGAGATACTCACAAATCACACTGACTGATAACGTTCAAGTCTTCCTTATCTTCATTGGTTTTCTGAATGTGTTCTGTCATTTATTAAGAGGGGTGTGTTGTGTGTCAGGGTGTAATTGTAAATTTTCTTATTTTCTACTGGGTTTTAGCCTGGTGCATTTTTTTTAAGCACCCTGTTGTTGAATGTGTAGATGCTTAGGACTGATATAGCCTCTTGTCAACTGGCCCTCCAGTCATATTAAAATAGCATTCATCATTCATAACTTTCACCTCTCTGCACTGCACCTTGAAACTGTCAGGACCTTGTGATGGGCATCTGCATTCCATCTATCAGCATCCCCACCCTCCACTGAAGGGATGCATGTTATGGGATGAGAAATGCATCACATATAAAACACATCAACCTTTGGGGGCTTGTCTGCAGCCTGACGTTTTGTTCATGTATTGGGTGCCGGGTTGACAGGTGTGACCCTACTGGGAATTTGCATGTGGTTCTCTCCCCTTCTAGCATGTTCTTCCTGCAGATATAGTTCATTAAGATTTTGCCTTTTGTTTTAAGGCATGCTGGCTTTGAACCTGCTATGCAGCTGAGGTTGAATTTGGGTTTCTGGTTCTCCTGCCTCTCTGCCTCCTGAGTTCTGGGATTTTAGGTGTTGTAATTAAATTCAAATGCAGGGGTTATTAGGGGAAGGGATTGTAAAAAGAGGAAAGGGGAGGAGAGAGAATGGCCTCCCGGGGACAGGAGCAGCTGGAGAGAGGAAAGAGAAGGGGAGAGGGATGGGAGGTGGGCAGAGCCCTTTCAAGGGAACATAGTGAATATGCACAGGTGGTGCTCTTAGTGGCTGCAGCTGAGGCTGTGTCCAGTCAGAACCCCAAGGGCAGGGCAGTACAGGTGCCTGAATACTAACAATA